AACCGTGGCTTGGAAATATAGCTTGATATCTGGTAATGTGATCCCTCCAACTTTGTTCTTCTTTCTCAGGATTGCTGTGGCTATTCAGGGTCTTTTTTAATTCCAGATGAATTTTTGGAGTGTTTGTTCTAGATCTTTGAAATATGCCGTTGATATTTTAATGAGGATTGCATTGAATCTGTAGATTGCTTTGGGTAGTATGGACATTTTAGTGATGTTGATTCTACCAATCCATGAACATGGTATGTTCTTCCATTTGTTTATGTCTTCCTCTATCTCTTTTTTCAATTTCCTGAAAATTTCCAAGTACAGGTCTTTCACATCCTTAGTTAAGTTTATTCCTAGGTATCTTTAATTTTTTTGGCGCTATGGTAAATGGGATTGTTGTTTTTTTCATTTCTCATGCTTATTGGTTTTAATGAGAGGGGAAAGGAGAGAGAGAGACAAGGAGAGACAGAAAGAGACAGACAGACATAAGTGAGAGAGAAACATCTATTGGTTGCCACACACATGCACACTGAACAGAAATATAACCCACAATCCAGGTATGTGCCCTGACTGGGAATCAAACCTGCTACTTTTCGGTATATAGGATGGTGCTCCAACCACCCGAGACACACTGGCCAGGGCTTGTGGGTCAATTTTGATTGACTTTTTCTTTTTAAAATATATTGTTATTGATTTCAGGGAGACAAGGAGAGTGAGAGTGAGATAGAAACATCAATGATGAGAGAGAATCATTGATCAGCTGCCTCATGCAGGTCCCCACTGGAGATCGAGGTCACAACCTGTGCATGTGCCCTGACGGGGAATCCAACTGGGATCTCCTGGTTCATAGGTCAATACTAAACCACTGAGCCACGCCAACTGGGCTTGATTGACTTTTTCTCCTTATTATGCATTTTATTTTCTATGAATGGTAATTTTTGATAAGAAGCTAGGCATAGTGAATTTTACCCCAGTGGGTGCTAGACACATTTTTATTTATATAAATATTCTTGAGATTTATTCTGGGCCACAGTTATGTTAGGGGAAACAATGTAATGTTTTTAAATCTTCCTTCTAATACAGTTTTTAAGTCTAGGGCTCCTCACTACTCAAGGAGGTTACTTGTAAGTACTCTAACAAATACTCCATGAATTATGAGATTTTCAAGTCTGGCTGGTGAGAACAGGCAATATACTCCAACTTTCATGAGTTCTGATTTCTCTATAATCCTTTCAGAAAGTTCTTAACTCTGC